CAGCAGGATGCAGCAAAATTAAGTGCAGAAGAAGAATATGCATTTGCTCTTCACATTTCCAGCAGGCTTCCAGCAAAGGCTGCTCGTGGCATCTAGATGGGAGCACTGCTTTGTAGTCCCGCTGCAGCAGCAGCGACTCGCTGCACGGCTCTATCCAAGTCACCACATCTTTTTGTGACTCAGCTTAATGCCTGTTGCAGAGCTAATTCTCCTGCTCCTGTGTTATCTTTCAGGGAAGATTATTTGCAAGGCACATGGAGCTCTCAGATGAAAAGTGGTTTGGAAGTGCTAGATAATTACTGTTAACAGCTAAAAGCACTTTTTCCATTTTCCACTTTGACAGCTTTATAGCTGTATTCTGAAAACGTGAAACTTTGGCATCTGACTCTTAGAAACATGAGTGGAATTTAAAAAAGAAGCTCTTTTAATTGCCGAGCTCCAATTATTTTTGCTTGCAGTGACCATGTAGCAGACTTCTGCATATTTCTGTCAGATCATTGATTGAAAGCCAGGTAATTAGAGGGCTCTCCCAAGTCAGGTTAAGCCAAGTTTATTTGATCTACCTTTCAGCTGGTGTAATTGGATAGTGTTTATTAGTAGACTCATTTATAGTCATACTAAATTCACGCACCTTCCCCTGAAATGTGTAGATGCAGATAACACACCCTGGAAACACCAACCCGGGCTATATGCATATGCAATTAATACTCTAACAATAATTTGGCGTGTGTTGTAAGCGTAGTTTCTGGAGGAACCCCCTGGCATTGTGGTCAGTGCCGTGCCGAGCGGTGGGAGGACAGGCTGAGCAGTCCCAGTGCTGGGCTGCTCCGCTTATGCTGCCTCCCCATGAGGCCGGCACCTCTCCCGGTGATGCAGGGATCCCCCCGCCCTACCCCGTGCATGGAAAACCAAGGAGCCATGTTCGCCGGAGGGGAAACTCCTCATGGAAATCAAATGTGTCCATGTCCAGTAGCAGGCAAGAACGAATGCAGTGGTGCCCAGGGAGCCAGGGGTTTCTGGGTGTTGGAATGGCTCTGCCGGGGTTTTGGCAGGATCGGGTGCTCCAGCTGAAGCACACCTGAGGAGCAGCTTTTTAGAGAGCTCCTGCTGTGGTTAGCACAGGAGCCTGCCTGAAAACAGACCCCAAATCTCTTCTGCAGGGGACTGCCCGAAGCTGGCTGGGGGGCTAAGGAGAAACAGAGAGGGGAGTTAATGTGAAAACACCATTTATTTCAGTCGGGAGCTCTGGAGAGCTCTGGGAAATTGGAGCCAGTGCCCAGGTTCATCGGCAGGCGTGCCGTGGGGAAGCCACAGGGCAGGGGAGGTGGAGGTGAGCCCGGAGGTGTCCGGGCTTGAGGGGCTGAAGGAGGAGAATGCACTGTGCCAGCTTTGTACGGCCAAGCTGACCTTGCCGGCACGGTTACCCGGCTCACCAGCTGCTCTCCTCCGGCACAGCCCTCACCAGCAGTGGCCTTCCCCGGGTGAAGGGGAGCACCAGCAGCCCTGCTCGCACCCCGGCACTGCCCCACTAGAAATAAAGGAGGCACCTGCAGTGTCTATACTGGGAATCATAAATATTTTCACAGAAATCACACTTCTGTTGCAGAAAATGCCTTTGTTACCTTATTCCACAGCGTTTGGAGTGACATTGGTCTCTGAGATAGCTACATAGCAGCAGTGCAGGGTTAAGTGTCCGGTACTGAATGACCGGCAGATCCAGCGTTTGTGTCCCAGTCACCATCAGGTTTCTTGCATGTACAGCCAGGTTCTGAGCCAGTTTCTGTAGCTCAGTGTCACAGTTCACTTATGTTCACAGCTGGATGAAGTAATTACTACCAGCTCTTCAAAGAAAAGATTTTTGCAAGCAGAAGGAACGTTAGCATGAGCTTGGTTTAGAATTAATTGGGTTGGGCCAAGCCTTGAAGAGGAGCAGAGCTGGACACCTCCTGAGGTAACATCTGCTGGGTGCATTTCAGGCTTTCCAAGCCCTCCAGCCCCAGGGCTGAGCTGGAGCAAGCTGGGCACCTCACCTCGGTGTCACAGCGAGGTTGGATTTATGCTCTAACCCAGACATAGTTTTCTATCATGGCACTGCTGGGTTACACGGACAAAAAATCAGGAGAGGTAGTGAAGGGCAGACGCGATCGGTCAGACGAGAGCTGCCGTTTCCTTCCAGGATAACGTTTCGTGTGTGTGACAGATGCAGAAAAGGGAACTGATCCCAGAAGGGGCAGGGATCTGCCTGTGTATGGTGGGACCTGGCTGTGTTTCTGGGTCACGCTGTCACCCAGGAGATGGGTGCAGGTGGAGGCTTTAATGAGGCAGAGCTCAGACACAGTCTGGTGGCCTGTCTGGGTAAGCCATGGTCTCGGGAGATCTCTTGGCAATGATGAAAGCAGAGGCAATTGTGTTGTCTTGCTCTCCTGAGAGAAACTCTTGGAAAATAACATTTTCGGTGATTCCTTATTCATCAACCCTCCTTCAGCCTGCTAGAGATCGATGGCTGCGGTTTGGGACGCGTGTGTATCCTGCTGCTGCACAGCCTTGTTCGGCCCCAGGAGCTCGGAGGTACCGCAGCCATCACCCCTCCTTTGACTTATGGCAAAAGCAGGGGATCCAAAACCACGGGGGTTGTTTTTAACTCTAGCTCTGGGAAACAATGCAGAGTTTCCGCTTTCGGGAGTCGTTTCAGGCACCATTTTCAGGCACATCTCTGCTCCAGAAAAAGGTGAGCACTGGAGCCAGGCGGAGCACGTTCAGAAACAGCCTTTCGGGGTGAATTACATGGCAGGAGGAGGAAGGCTCTCAGCCACCGACGTGGTCCCCCTCGTGCTCCTGGCGCGGCAGAGCTCAAGGGGGGTCCTCTCCTCCCCAGGCGAAGGAGAACGGCGGTCCCCAGGAACTGGCTTTGCGGCCTGCGCAGGGCACATAGCTGTGTCCCCAGGTCCCCGGGCATGCAGCGGCTCTCTCGTAGTCACGACTTGTTTCTAGCAGGATTAAGAGAAGCTTAGGGACTTTGAGGTTTTCCAAACCCCTTCAATTAACTTCTGGCTCACAGGGTTCACAGAATTTGCCTGAATTTATGACCCATTTTTCCTTTTAAGTGCCTCTTTTTTTTTTTCTTTTTTTTTTTTTTCCTAGGGATGATTCAATTCCTTAATGTTTTTCTAGCTAAAGGGCATCCTGTGCTTTGATATGGCAATGGGAGAGGCTCCGAGAGCTCTGCTGGCTCCAGGAGTGGACCCTTGCCTCTCAGGATGCTGCATCTTCTCCAAAGGTCTCCCAGGCAGAGCAGGCACCAGGAGGGTTGTTCAGTTGAACTTAAGACCTCTCATGCCTTTAGAAAGAGGTGAAAAGATTGGGTCTGGTCTCGATTTGCAATGCTGATGTTTATGTGGGCATGCCATTAAAAAGGTGCTCTGCCCACGAGCCAGCATTTAAAGGTTAGGGTCAGAGTAATTTCCAAAACTGCGATTACCTCATGTACTTGGCAAATTCTGGGTTTTATAGCAACTTTCCAGTCATGTAAATACAAAATCATCTTTTTTATCCAGCGTGCTTTTTAAATAATTTTTTTAAGCTGCCAAATTTGTTTTATGTGACTTTGAAAGAGAAGACTGCCTCTGGCTTAGACCACACATGCCAAGTTACCAATTTGTGTAGGCTGCTGCAGTGTTTGTGCAGCATTTACGGCACCCCAGATGAAAGGCTCTACAGAAGGGCAAAGCACCCTGATTTTTGTTATTGCTACTTTTGTCTGACTGTGAAAATGAGGTTGGGACTGAGCTGAGGCTTTCGGGATGGGGATGGCACCACGTAGCAGAACCCCGGTGTGTGGGCTGGAAGCAGAGACCAGACCAACATCCTGAGAGTCAGGAAAACACAGGAGATTTAAAGCCGTTTTGGGGACGGCAGCTGCCTTGCCACCTGGCACGGACGGGACGGGCAGCGAAGCCGCCGGGGCACGTCCCGCTGGGAGCTCCATCCCCTCCGACCTCCATCTACACTGGGAGAGGTGCCCAAGGGGAGCTGCGGGGAGCAGAAGCACAGCCCCGCAGACGGAGGTCAGCAGGCAGCCGTGCTGAGCTGTTTTGGCCACGGCGGCAATAATCTTATCATCCCCGAACGTGCATCCAGCCCTGCGTGCTCGTGCGCGCCAGGAGCGCGCTGATGGTGACCCGGGTCTGCTGCCGTGGGCTCGGGATGCTCTGCCTCGCCCCGAGCTGACCGATGACTCCCCGAGCCGGTGGTCTGTGGGAAGGGCCATCCCCTCTCAGCGCCCGGGGACGCGTTTCTTCAGCACGAAGGGGCTGAGCTAGAACCTGCGCCCTCCTTGTAGCTGCCGTCTGGCCCCGTCCAGCCTTTCCAAGTGCCTTTTGCTCCTTTGGTGGCCTCGGCATGTGGCTGCGTGCCGTGAGAGCTGGTGGTTGGAGCAAAGGGTGCTCCCGAGGGCCCTGGGTGTTAATTCCGCATCTCCATCCAGGCTCTGCAGATCTGGGCTGCGGGCCTGCCCGCACTGCCAGGCGGGCTGATAACTCAGCAGGTCGCTTGTATTTTTCCACGGCAGGTTGAAGCCCCAGAAGAGACCAGGCAGCGGCGCGTCCCAGCCGTGCGAGAACATCGTGGTCGCTTACTACTTCTGCGGAGAGCCGATCCCTTACCGCACCCTCGTCAAAGGGCGTGTGGTGACCCTGGGACAGTTCAAGGAGCTGCTGACCAAGAAAGGGAACTACAGGTAAGGGCTGCTCCCCGCGGGCGGTATGATGCCAGGAGACAGTCAGTGAAGCCTGGCAGATGCCGCTGCCAGGACATAGCAGTGTTGCCCCCTCCAAGGTGGAGGAACGTGGTGGAGGTAGGTCAGGGGGGCTCCTGCAACCTTCCAGGAGGGCTCCCGCAGGGCTGTGGCAGGGATGTGGCTGCACAGCCAAGGTGCCTTAGCTGTTGAAGAGGCAGGTTACAGGGTTGAGGG